CAGGACCTGGGCAGAGAATGGCAAATCTAACTTAAATAAGTGGCGATTAGGGTAGATACATACCCTCCAATGAGAAGCATGTATCATTAAAACCCTCCCGCTCTCTAATCACAACTAGCTTTAAATGGTCTGCAGGCAGCCTGCTTCATATTGTTTAACGATTGCTCCATTGACCACATTCATTGCACTCTGGCTGCACAATTTGTTGATGGGAAAGGTGCCAAAATAGTCTGTCAGGAGTGTTTTACTCAGCCCATGCCATATCGCTAACAAAAATATCTAGGCTTTTTAATATATATATGTTTTTTTCCCCTTGGGAAGCTTCCTCTACCTCTGTGGTGTTGCTGGTTCTATGACATTAAAAAAAAATTGTTTATAGCTGACAAACATAAATGCAGGCAAAAGGTCGTAAATTCAATCTGGAACCCCAGTTAATGTAGAAATAAATATTTTAATACATAATAATAATAATAATAATAATAATAATTTAATAATAATTTATTATTTATACCCCGCCCATCTGGCTGGGATTCCCCAGCCACTCTGGGCAGATCTGACTCCATATAAAGCAACCTCCTAATTGCCAGCTACATCTCACTGATCTGGTCTTCCTTCAGCCAGCCTCCAAGGCGAGCGAGTCCTTCTTACACATTTTGGCATCCATTTCCAGACAGAGAGCAGCCATTTTAATCTGCTGTAAGAAAAGATGGGGGGAAAAGATGGAAAAATGAAGAAATACCAAAGAAAGAACACTGGCAAGAAATACTGATGGAATACTGTGTGCCGAAATGGCAAAATTATCTGAAAGACTGAGAGATAAAGACAATAGAGAGGTATTTACAGAAGCAATGTAAAGAAATGGACTCACTAGCAGGGTTTGAGTAAACACTTACAATATATAAAGTAAATATAGCTACTTTTAAGAAATTATTACAATGATAAGAGAATAACGTTATTGGATATTAAGAATGCAATATGAAGATATAATATAACAAGCAGGGAAAGTCAATATGTTAAAAACCAGAAGAGGGAGTTGAGGGAAGCCCGGCGGGGGGGGGAGGTTCTGGGGAATTGTTTTCTATTTTTTATGTTATGTGATTTTTTTTAACTGTTGTTAAAAATTGTAACATCTAATAAAAATGTTAAAAAAATAATAATCTGCTGCAAGAAAACCAACAAAGTTTCTGCATCAGTGTGACTGGATTGTTAAATTCTTTAGATGTGGACACACCATAGAAGTACAGAGGAAGCCTGCATCGAACAGTGAGCCATGCAGGAATCCAAATACAGTGGTACCTCAGATTAAGTACTTAATTCGTTCTGGATGTCCGTACTTAACCTGAAACTGTTCTTAACCTGAAGCACCATTTTAGCTAATGGGGCCTCCTGCTGCCGCCATGCCGCCAGAGCACGATTTCTGTTCTCATCCTGAAGCAAAGTTCTTAACCCGAGGTACTATTTCTGGGTTAGCGGGGTCTGTAACCTGAATCTGAGGTACCATTGTATATCCTTGGCTGACTTATTCAAACAGCAGAAGAACCTCCTTTCAGCCACCAGTATACCAGGCTTCTTTTCGGAGAGAGCTCTTGCTATGATTGTAACATCTTGTTTGGGGGCATTGCGATTCTCTGACGCTTGATGTATGAGAACAGTGAAGCAAACATAGGTGACCTGTAAAGAGAGACACACTCTATGTACTTCTTGTTTCTAGATTTAATTGTTTCATTTATTTGAAAGAATAGAAACAAATGTGTATATATATAAAAAGGGTCAGAGGATACATCAATTTGTGGATCCTTTGCTCCACCAGTCTCTTGTTTGTTTTCATGGGAGGAGAAGGCAGGCAGAGAAATGCTAATTAATTGCACGGTGGCCTTCCTTTTAAACATATGTCCAAACTGGTTAGGTTAATTTGTTGTCACAATACTGTTTAAAAGTTTTCCATTGTTAGCCTCGTGCATAAAAAAGCAATTGAAGTTAAACAGGGGCAAGCTAGAGATTACATGCAAATATGTGTAATGAGTCCTGACTTTTTAATAGGAAAAGGAGCTTTCCGAGGCTGTGATTTTGAGTGGATAAATGATGGGAGAAAGGTTGTTAACCCTTTCCCCACTAACCATTCAAAATCTTATCCCAGCAGCTTTCCCCCTTCACAAGTCAGGATGGGCAGATCTGTCTGTTTCTGGTCTGTGTAACTTAACATTTATTTTATTTATTTAAATGATTTATAGCCCACTGTTTGAGAACCATGCTCCACAAAGCAGAGCGCTCTCTCTCTCTCTATATATATGCCAAGTTCAAATTCAATATAGTGCAAAACCATAGAAAACATCAATTTCCTAACCATTTAAATATCAAGTCCATCACAACACTAAAAGAATAACAAGCACTGAAGACGTAAATGAAAACGTAATAATGACGGCCTTGGTTTATACCCTCTCCTTACCTCAAACAGTGTAGACCACTTTGAGAAGTGGTACATATCAATAGAACCCCATAGATTTTTAACAACAAAATGTTAAGCATTCACACAACTCAGGAAAGCAGCAGTTTAACAGGAAACCCTATTTAGAGTATTATCTTCCAAGGGAGCACTGCAGGTTCTGGTGATCTTTCTCTCCTGGTGTTTTTGGTTCTATGACATCATAGGAACCAACTCTTATGGGCTGAGGTCCCTTTGTCTCCCCAGTAAAATATTTGAGGGGGCTAGTCCCTTCCAAAATTGTTGGGCATTGCCATTCAAATGGTGTGCGTGAGCCACTTCTTGTGATCAGTTATGTGGGGTGGGGCTAACATGGGTCCCCCCAATATTTTATTCAAGTTGGCACCCCTGTATGACATCATGCGGTAGATCAGTGATTCATTTTGATTGGTACTGTAACTTCCATGTATAGGTAATATGGGGGCATCAGAGCATATTGTTGCAACTGGTGAGTGCCAGGGGTGTTGCTGTGGACACTGCTGGATCATCGGTGTTGCTACAGCTTTTTGTTTCATCAGCTATTGCAGTGGTATTAACTTTGTTGAATGTACACAAGCTAGCCAAGTCCAATATGCTGGCAATAGGCTGTCTCAAATTGGTAGGCACAACTGGCAGAATGAAAAGGCATAGTATAGCAAGGTCAGTATGGCAAGACCATAAGATCAGCCTGTTTGGTTGTCTTCCAACCACAGTTTCTGCTTTTTGTAGCATGGTTGTGCCCTAAGGCTACATTCAGATAGCATATTATTCAATTTCCCCAGTGTTTTCTTACCTGCTAATTTTTGCATTTTGTGCAATATTTTGCATGATGTAAATTCCACTTCTGGAAAGCTAGTGGAATTTAGCAGAAGTTTAGCACTCATTTCTGTGTTAATTGTTAACAGGAAAAAAATCCACTTGCAACCCTGGAAGCTTGGAATATTGTGGGAGCTTTACATTGTAATTTTCCTGTGGCTTTCATAAATCATGCTCCCATTATTCACATAATGAAATTTGGGGTGTTACTTTGGCATACTGACGCGGATGGCACTGTGGGTAAAACCTCAGTGCCTAGGACTTGCTGATCGTAAGGTCGGTGGTTCGAATCCCCGCGGCGGGGTGAACTCCCGTCGTTCAGTCCCAGCTCCTGCCCACCTAGCAGTTCGAAAGCACGTCAAAGTGCAAGTAGATAAATAGGTACCGCTTTATAGCGGGAAGGTAACGGCGTTTCCGTGAGCGGCGCTAGTGCTGGCTCGCCAGAGCAGCTTCGTCACGCTGGCCACGTGACCCGGAAGTGTCTTCGGATGGCGCTGGCTCCCGGCCTCTTAAGCAAGATGAGCGCGCAACCCTAGAGACGGACACGAATGGCCAGTAGGGGCAGGGGTACCTTTACCTTTACCTTTGGCATACTGCATGGTGAATCATAGGGGAACAGAAGCCCATATGCACAGAAAGGATGGGGAAGTGGTGACTTATCCAATGACTTTAATTGTGTCACACCATGCCCACTCGTGTGAATGAAATTTAGCGTGACATTGCAGTATATTGATCAAAAAGCCATAGTTCTATAATGCATCAGGTAAAAGGAATATTAGAAATGAGGACAGATGCGCTATGATTATATCCTGTAAAAGGAATGCAATAAAGACCATTTCTGAATGCAGCTTAAGTGCTCTAAAATAATTTGAAGTAGTTGTGGATTTTGTGTGTGGAAGGTCTTGCTCTGTGGCACATGGCAGGAAGGTGATGGCAGGTGGTTTTGTTGAGAAACAATGGCCATAGGGATACAGAGGTGATCTGTGCTGAAATTTAGAGATGGAAACCTGCAGAAACTTGACCTTGAGAAACAGCAGGGTCATAACTGAGAGCTACCTTATTTGTTACTGTTGTTTTAGTATACATGCTTTCAGGGTGGACTGTATTAATAATCTGCACTTACAGCTTTCCCCATCAATTTTTGGGAGGTTGAAAACCTCGTAGAGAGAGGTAGTATTTATGGGGACTCTCTAGAGACAGCTTAGCTTCCACACTTACTCTCAAAAATGTGTAACCTTAGAGAAATAAAATGTATAAGCTTAGAAAAATAGTAGAAAGTATGTAACAGAAAGTTTCTACAATCTGTTGGATGAGGGAGAAAGTTGGGGGGAAATGACTTTTTTCTATAGTATCCTGGCTAGGATAAGGTTCGTGGGGGGCGGGGGCGGAAATTGTTTTATGGTGTCTCGTTTCACTCATGTGGGACTACTCTTGGGTTGCTCTGGAGGCTGCAGCTGGTGCAGAACACAGTGGCTAGATTGCTTTTGGGGGCCATCTGCCACCAGCATACGACACCTCCCTTGCTGGATTTGCACCAGCTGCCAATCTGCTACCAGGCCAAGTTCAATGTACTGGTACTAACATGTATACAATTCAGAATCAGGTTATTTGAGATACCACCTTATCCCTTACATACCCAGTAGATTGAAGAAACATAGAATTGAAGAGTTGAAAGGGAACATAAGAGGCATCTAGTCCAACTCCCTGTAATGCAGAAATCTTTTGCCGTTGTGGGGCCTACACCCACAATCCTGAGATTAAGAGTCTCATGCTCCACTGACTGAGCCAACTTGATGGCTCGGTCTGCAGAAGTGCACTCCACAGTAACTGGGACCAAGTCTTTTAATCTGGCTGACCCTGTTATGTGGAATAGCAATCCTATTAAGATATGCTGGATGCCTGCTGCCAGCACCTTCTGGAAACAGCTGGAGACATTTGTGTTCCAACAGGCTTTTCCAGCTAGATAAATGGGGCTTTGCCATTAGTGTTTTACTTCTAGGTGAGCATATATAGGATTACAGCCAGGAGACTGATGCTCTCTAATCCATAGCTTTGATGAGGGTTGAAAGGGTTCCATCTTGTATCCCATGCTATTTAAAATACATTTGAAATGGCCAGAGATTTCTGGTACACTGTCACGTGATGCCCAGCTCTATATATCTTCTTTCAGATTCCAGTGAGTCAGGGGAAAACCTAAATTCTAATAACGCCAGTGGATTTGCCCCACCCACAAAGAGATGTTTCACTGCTACTGTCTTTCTCCTAGCTCAATATTGCATAAAAGTAATATATGGTGCAATTGTGGAATAGCAAAATGACATCTGTCATGTGTCAACTCTGTCTATCCTCCTTTTTAGAGGAGATCAGTTTCCATTATGCCGCTGCCATGGCTTGTCTGCTTTTCAAAAGCAGTGCCTTTGCCATTCTCATCTTGTTATCTGGATGGTCCTGGTAAGGAGGTAAATTTGAGCATTACAGTGGTAGCTGGTAACTACTGGAGCTGGTGATGTAGTGGACAGCACAGCTAATAGGAGGCAGAGCCAGAGGGTCACCGGAGACTGAGTCAACTTCTTCTGATTTTCTCCCCATCCTCCTCCCTTGCAGAGATAAAGTGGACACCTAAGCAATTCTCAGACACAGTCACCAGACATTGAAGGAACAACCACTTCTGTGAAAAGTTGGATACCTAGAAAATTTACATTTCTAAGATTCAGTTTCAAGTGCTTAGATGTACCTGTGATGTTTTGGTTTTGCTTATACCAAGAAAGATGGACAGAAAGGACTCCAGGGAATCTCTGAATGACAGAAATTGTATGAAGATGATTCTATGAAACACAGATCTGCTGTACTCTTAACTTTGGGTGCAGAAAAAAAAACACAATGGCAGGGTCTTCCCCACCTTGCCCTAGTGACCAGATGCACCTGAAACTTTTCAGTCTGCCTTCAAGTGGTTTTCTCTCAGGTGGTTTTGCCTGTCTTGTCCATCTGGATGCTTGATTTCAAGTGGGAAATGTACAGGGAAAATAATAGCCTTTGGAGATCCCGTGAAAGGATAACTTCTTAACTGCCAAAGCAAGCCAAAATCAGAAAGAAAGGGAGAGGAGCCACCAAAATAGGTTTAGGAAGAATGAATTAATGGATACAGCACCAAAATCATGAAAGACAAGGGGGAAAGAAAGAGGTTGGCAGAAAATAAAAGGTTATTGTGAACCACATGGAGCTCAGAAGTCTGGGCAGTGCCAAATTGAAAATGGGATGGGACACAATTATGAAGATTACAACTAGAGAGATGAGTAGAAACATGGGGATGCTTTTTGCAAGGAAATGGGATTGTAATTAGAAGAGGAAATGGAATCAAGAGACAATTTCTCAAATGTGAAATGAAAAGGCCTTTGTGAACGGTAAAAACAAACGTTAAGAAGCCAAAAAAGCCACAAAATATTATTTATGATTTATTTATATTTTTAATGCATGAAATTGATACTTAAGTACATTTCAGAGCCAGTAATTAGAATATTCATTTCCTTCTTATTTCTCAGTTAGTGCATCCTGAAACAACGAAGAGGATGCTAATGCCATGATATACACAACATAGTTTTAAAATGTGAGCCAAATCACCCCATTACAGTGTTAACAGGGACTTTCTAACCTGTGTAAAGTTAAGCAAATATGAGTTTACTGAATTGCTGCATACATTCGACACCCCAAGAGCTCATTTATGCAAATATAAGGGCTTTGCATATGAGATCTTTAACTCTTTTATTTCCCTAGGAGCAGTTGCCGCTCTGCATCACAAGCTGCTTTTGAAACTCTTCCAAATGTGACAAGTGAGGAATGCTGTCCTTAAATGGGGACGAAAACCAAGATAACACTGCAAGTACAGCCTTGTGTTCCGTGGCCCAAAGTTAACACACATTTATCTCAAGGTCAAACTAGACCCAAGGATAGAAGTATGGGAATACCTGTCCTTCCTATAGAGTTTGTATCCAGAAATAACTGTGTGTCACCAGTTCTTTCAATTTCACCTGGTTTCTGTTATGTCTACTATGCTCTCCTTCAACACCAAGCTCTAAAGCTCAGCCATCTTGGCTTGGAGGTGTCTAGCACCTGTACATGGTGTCTCTTTCCACATGTGGTTTGGCTTCCTCTGGTGGTTTGGCTTCTTTGAATGGCTATCTGCGTCTGTGTGCTTCCAGTATCTAGTTCTACCTGCCCCTCCCCCCACTTGGAGGATCATAACCATTTTCACATTCAACCTCTAGGGATGGTTTTGCCAGAACTGGATGCTCCTCATCTCCATTTGGTTTTCCTTCACCAAATAGCTTAGGTCCCCAAATATGGAGAAGGATTCACTCTGTGGTCTAACTAGAGATATATATAAGTCTCTTCAATGCTCGCTTACTTATTTGCCCCCAAGGCAGAGTGCTGATTCTGTTTTAAACTGGCTTTATGATATACGGGTGATCAGTAGAGCTGCTTTTGCAAAACAGAAGTTATGATATTTGAAGATATGTGCTTTGATCTCACGGAAATGCTTAGCTTAGCTACTCAGCAGGCAGCACAGAGCTGCATGAACTTAGTTAAGCACTGATCAATACCTGATCTGTCATAAACCAACATCAGACAGCTCACACCATCCGTGAGGAAGCCCCTAATATAGCCTGCATCACAGCACTGAGCTCTTCTGTTATGGTCTCTTCAAGTTTATCAAGCGTCTGCAGATTCCATTACTATAGGTAGAGAATTCTGAGCTGTCCCATTTGCAGTGCTCAGAGGACCCGGACTTTTAGAAATAAGAATCTGGCTGCAGAATGAGTTCAGCAGATACAGAATTTAATGTTCAAGTTCTTTCACTGCAGAGGTAAAGGTAAAGGTAAAGGTAAAGGTAAATGACCCCTGGATGGTTAAGTCCAGTCAAAGGCAACTATGGGGTGTGGCACTCATCTCGCTTTTCAGCCTGTGGGAGCCAGCGTTTGTCCACAGACAGCTTTCTGGGTCACATGGCCAGCATGACTAAACTGCTTCTGGCACAATGGAACACCGTGACGGAAGCCAGAGCACACGGAAATGCCATTTACCTTCCCACTGCAGTGGTACCTATTTATCAACTTGCACTGGTATGCTTTTGAACTGCTAGGTTGGCAGAAGCTGGGAGAGAGGAACAGGAGCTTACCCTATCACACTGATTTGGACTGCCAACCTTCCAATTAGCAAGCCCAAGAGACTCAGTGGTTTAGACCACAGAGATCTCCTATAGCAGGGCAAAGGAGCCATATAATACATTGAAGCTTTCAGGAAGGGGAAAGTGGTAGCCTTGCAGTGTCACTGCTACAGATGTCTGGGGCTCTCAGGCAGGCCTTCTAGGGTTGGGTGACTAAAGACAGTCCCACCTGACCTTATATATCTGTTGTCTGTGGTCTTGATCCTCAGTCTGAGCAACTTACTTTTCAGTAGAACCTCTGCCTTGATAGATATTTGCTCTGCTGCTGCCTATCTCTCCCAATGTGTATTCATTCTGCCTGGTTATTTTAACTAGAATAAGGCTCTATATTTTCACACCCTGATATTATTAATTTCAAATTGTCTTTCTGTTATTAAATTATTAACAGCCTTTCTTTTAATTCAAAGCATTACCCAGAAAGGCAGGTAGAGAAATGCTCTCAAGAGAGTATAGCACATTTAACGGGTGTCGGAAGATGCAAATAGGAAATTAATCAAGCTGGCAGTATTTGGGCAATTAGAAAGAGATAATCACGCTGCCCCTTGGTCAATAAGGATCAATTTCTTAATCCCAGTGATGTTTTAGTTCAGCAACATCTGAAGGACCACAGCTTAGAAATCCTTGATCTATATGAAGCTGTTGGGAGCTGGTCACTAGAGGTTTTGGAGCATGGTGTTATCAGTGATGAAACCCAACTCTATTTCTTCATAACATCTGAATCAAGTATAGTCATCCAGGAACTGGGCTGTGTGCAGTAGTGGGCTGGATGAGGACCAATAATGAACTTGAATCCTGGCAAAAAGCAGAAGCTCTGTGTGTGAGTGGTTCCCAGGCCTGTTCTGCATGGGGTTGCACTCTCTGAAGGAGCAAGTACGTACCTTTGCGGCGTTCCAAAACCCATCTTTGTCACAGGAGGCCCAAGTGGCTAGGAGCATCTCCCAGCTTCAGCTGGTGCAACCGTAATGACCATTCTTGGGTCAGGATAGCCCAGGAATTGGTAACCTCCAGACTGGATTATTTCAATTAACTCTATCTGGGGCTTCCCTGAAGGTTGGTCCAAAAGTTGCAGCTGGTGCAGAATCCAGCAGCAAGACTGTCGAAGGAGGGGTGCCCTATCAGCAGCATGCTGAAATAACTGCACTGGCTGCTGATATGCAACAGGACTAAATTAAAGTTCTTGGCGGTGGTATATAAGGCCCTGAATAACTTGGGACCAGATTACCTCCAAGTACGCTTCACCTTGAATACTCCTGCCCAGTCCTTGGGATATACATTCTTAATAGTTCACTTTCATCTTATACCCTCAAACACTAGGGCAGGGGTCGGCAAGGCTTACAGGGCATGGGCTGGATCACTCCCATGGAGATCTTCTGTGGGCTGGACCAGTGCAGCACGACACCAGAAATCACGTCTGTGCATGTCCACAGCTCCGGAAATAGCTTCTACGCATGCTCAGATGCCGAAAATCACACCTGCACAGAAGCATTTTTTGGCGACTGGGCATGCGCAGAAGCGATTTCTGGTGCTGCGGACATGCGCAGATATGATTTCCGGTGCCTGGGCATGCGCAGATGTGA